AAAATGAAAATCACTAATAATAATTTGAAATATGTTTTTATTTTAATTTTTTAGTTAAGTCATCAAAATGATGTGTCAATCCACATCACCTCATTAAAGCCACACAAGCAAAAAAGTCAAAGGGTTAACCGGTTTAAAAGGTAACAGGYTACCCATTGTTATTATGGGTAGATTTTTTAAAGTACAATGCCTTAATAAAAAATAATTTGAAAGTACATTGCTGTAATAAAGAAAAACAAAAGTAGAATGTTATAATAAGAAATTTTATGAAAGTAGGTTACTATTTCATGCATTTAACTCTTGTTTGAATCGTTCCTTCTTGAAATACTTCTCTATGCAGGCTCTAGGGGACTGTTTCAACCCATATAGAGCTCTCTTCAATTTGTACACCTTTGCTTCTTCTCCCTGTTTGACAAACCCAAGAGATTGTTCAACATACACAGTCTCCTTGAGCTTACAATTTAAGAAGGCGCTTTTATCATCAAGTTGAAACACCCTCCAATTTCTTTGAGCAGAGATAGCTAGAATGATTCGAATAGTGTCCCACTTAGCCACTGGTGCAAACACTTCTTCAAAGTCCACCCCTTTTTGTTGTGCATAGCCTTTAACCACAAGTCTTGTCTTATACTTGTCTATATTCCCTTCTTCATTCAGCTTGGTTTTGTATACCCATTTTACGCCAATAGGTACAACTTCAGCAGGCATATTTACTAACTCCCATGTTCCATTTCTCTTTATTGCATTTATTTCATCTTCCATGGCTTTCACCCACTTAGCTTCTTTTCTTGCTTCTTCAAAGGTAGTAGAATCTCCTTGAGCTGTATACATGGCAAATCCATCTTCTTCTTCTCCATTTTCTTCTTCAAATAACTCATGACCAGTTCTATAATCTTGCATCCAACCCAGTTGTCTTCTATTTCTGGTAGAGGATTCAGCTGCCTTACTTGTGACTACAGTATTTCTCTAATCTGCAATGCTTGCTTGTGGGTCTTCATTTGGAATGAGAGCACCACTTTCTTGAGCCTGTTCTTGAACTTGTGGTTCCATATCCCCATCTTCTTCATTGTCTGTAACTGCAACTTGATGACCAGGTTCTTCTTTTATTATCAATTCTCCCTCCCTTATAGTTTCTTTATCCTAATTCCATTTTTGATGCTCTTCAAATATGACATCTCTGCTAATGATGATCTTCTTTTGAATTGGATCATAGAGCCTGTAAGCCTTACAACCAATGATAATGCCAAACAACACACATTTTTGGCTACTTGCATCTAACTTGGTTTTGACTTGGGAGGGAATATGGACATGACCAATACATCCAAGCACACGAAAGTAATCAACATTTGGCTTATCTCCAGTCCATAATTCTTCAAGTACCTTCTTGTCTAGAGCTCTAGACACACACCTGTTCATAATGTGACAAGCTCAGATAGTTGCTTCTGGCCAGAAGCATTTGGGCACCTGTTTTTCTACTAACAAACATCTCACCATATTCATCAGTGTTCAATTTCGTCTCTTAGCCACACCATTTTGTTGTGGGGTGTAGGCAGCTATTAACTGCCTTTTTCATTCCGTTTACTTCACAAAATTCAGTAAACTGATGTGAAGTAAACTCTCCCCCTCTATCGCTTCTCAACATTTTTATTTTAGAACCCACTTCTGTTTCAACCATTGCTTTAAATTTCTTAAAGTGCTCAAAACTTTCCCCTTTGTTTCCCAGCAAGTAAACCCATGTCTTGCATGTGAAATCATCAATAAAAACAAGTACATACCTCTTTCCACTTTGAGACATTGTTGTGATTGACCCACAAAGATCTGTGTGCACAAGCTCTAACCTTTGAGTGGATCTCCAAATTACCTTATTCGGAATTGTTATCCTGTTTTGTTTCCCAACATTGCAAGTCCCACATACCAATGTTTTCCCACAAACTTGAGGTATTCCCTTCACCATATTGTGATACTACATGGTTTTTAATCGCCTTGTGATTCACATGACCAAATCTTTTGTGCCAGATGTGAGTAGTATTGTCATCTGCTACCTGCAAGCAATGACCAATAACATCCTTTTGATGCCCATACACTATGAACATTCTGTTTTTGGCCACTGTTGACTTCATGATCAGACCTCTTCTTGGATGATAAACATGGCATACTCTATCTTCAAACACCACCTTTACTTTCTTTTCTTGAAGCTGACCCGCACTAATCAGGTTTAAAGTTAACTAAGGAACATAGTAAACATTTGTAAAGACTTGCATGATGCCATCTATTTCAAAACGAACATCTCCCAAGCCTTTTACCTACAATCTCAGCCCATTGCCTAACTTTACAGTGTGTTTGATAGTTTCATCCAGCCTAGTAAACCATTTCTTCATACCTGTCATGTGGTTTGAACATGCAGAATATAATAACCAATACCCCTTGTTTACAACGACATCATTCTTCATGTGAGCCATAAGAACCAGTTCCTCATTCTCATCAAATTCTGCATAATTCACCCCCTAGTCTTCTCGAGGACATTCAAATTGAAAGTGTCCCATCTGATGACACTTGTAACATTCTATCATTGATTTGTCAAAGTTTCCACGTCCTCTACCTCTCACCGATCCTCCTCTACTACCTCTACCAAATCCACGTCCATAGTTCTGATCTTCAACCTGTAGTGCATGATATTCTACTTCCTTCTTGACTAGCTTCTGCTCATGCACCAGTAATGAGCTTTGTAACTCATCAATAGTGAATGTATCCAAATCTTTGGATTCTTCAATTGAACACACCACAAAATTAAAGTTTGGTGTAAGTGTTCTCAAGATCTTTTCTACCACCTTAACCTCAGTTATTTCTTCACCATTATTCCTCATTTCATTTGACACAGTCATGACTCTACCAAAGTACTCCACAATGGTTTCGCCATTCTTCATCTCTAAGGTCTCAAAATCTCTTCTTAACCTCTGCAACTGAGCCCTCTTTACTCGTGCATTCCCCTTGTATTTTACCTTCATTGCTGCCCACAGCTGCTTCGCTGTATCTTTCTGTGAGATGGTCTTGAGAATATTCTTATCGATTGAATAGAACAGATAGTTCAAAGCCTTCAAATCGATAAGCTTCATGGCATCCAGTTCCTTTCTTCTTGTATCTGAGATCTGATCTCCGGCATTAGGCTCAACATAGCCAGTTTCAATTGTCGACCATAATTCTTTGGATCGAAGCAAGTTCTCCATGACTATACTCCAATGATCATAATCTCCATCGAATTTGGGAATAACAAAGCCTTGCGATGAGTTTCCTTCAGTCATCTTGTCACTCTCTTCTCGAATGGATCACACAATTTTGCTCTGATACCACTTGTTGAAACCAACTGATAACACACACAAACTCACTTTAAATGTGATGATTAATTCAACTAATCAAGCTGTCATTTATAGGCATACAAACGAAACAAACGAAACAAACTAACAGCTAAAAAACAGGAAACAAATCAGGACTAATACAAATACTTATTCAAACCTTAAACAAACTCAAGGACTTGGTCATATGACCGTTGTAACCAAGCTTCAATATGATCTTTGTGGATTAATCGAGGTTTCTATCATAGTGATACATTTTTGACTTTTTCTTTGAGGCCAGATCTTCTTCTAGTCTCATATGTGCCAAAGCCCTTGATCAAATGTCCTCAAATGTTTCTACTAGATATTTTTTTAATTTACTTGCATAAGTTTGATTCATCTTCAAGTTTTCGTTTGAATTCTTCAATCGCCATTCGGGTGTTACACTCACATGTACCTATCATTGTTTAGTTAGAACGGTTAAAATAATCATGGATAGACTCGCATGATCGCCGGGAAATGTAATATAAGTCGCTTGTATGCTTCTCCATCTTCTGTTTACTTGTGAATTATTTGAAGAAAAGATTTATGAAGGTTAGCTAGATCTTAGTTTGTATTAGGCGACATGTTTATAAGGATTTGTGGTCCCTGAGTACTTGGGTGTTATTGTTGGTATACAGTGTTTTTATTGGATTTCGACAAAGGCAATTTGGTCTGCGAAAGGTGAGTCCTAGAAACCTTTCAGTGACATCCATAGTGTTGCTGATTCTGTAAATTTATAATTAAAATGGATATTGACTTTTCATTTTGTTGTTCGAGAAGTTGCAAACAACGCATCACTTTATCTTTGTCTTGTTGTCGTATGTTGTATGGACGTGTCGTGGTTGTTAGTGTACAACCTCTACGAACGTATGCCCTGGTTGACATGGGATATAACAGTCATACCCGCTTCATTGCTTCCATTATTTGTATCTTTAATATCTCTAGTGTATTTGTGGCTCGCCATTACGATGGTGTCTTGATTGTGTAATTTGTTGATTTTACAGGATGACAATTGATTCCCGGGGATGTTTGCAATCTTCTTCGGTTGCTTCATTATTTCCAATCATTTTCTTCAACAAGTTGCTACTTCAAATGGGTGCTATTAAGCCATCTGCAGTAGTATGTACATGTTGAAGTCCACACAACTTATTTAATAATTGGGAAGACTTGTAATAGTTTATGAATTCTATTTCATTTAGCTTGTAGACTGGGCTATGAGTTGTATACAATAATAATTATATGAAGGTTGGGATGTCATAATCAGTATGAGAATATCAACTTTCTAACATCAAACCAATTATTGAATTAAACCAAATGACTTTGGTATGGAAAATGTGTTTTTGCTTTTAGTTTGATATTATACTTTAAACGGTCCCCATGAATGGGCTTATAGGAATCATTGTTGTTTGATGAATTTGAAAATAAAGGCTTGGGACATGATGAACGTATATCTGACTTCTACCTTAAAATGGTAAAACAATGTTTCCGTAATAACTCTCGATTTCTGAGTAGTAAACGAAAAGTTTGCTCAAAGAAATAGACGAACCATCGAGTAAAAAGTGACGGTTCGAAAAAAGAAAAACCTCAAACAAGAAAATTGAGTAAACTAAATCAAGGAAACGAACGTGACTTGCATAAAAGTATGATATGTTCATATATACATGTAATACGTACATATCCATTTTCTGATATACATAAATAAAATGAAAATTTTACCGATGTATTTTGTAACATTTTTTAACCATTTAAACGAACAGATCGTAACCGTCGAAAAGCTTTTGTTATTTTATATTGCAGATGACACAATGATTAGCAATCAGTCTAGCCATGATGCTTCCTTCTTCTATCTTAAATCTGCTACTTTGCTTGTTCCACAGGTGAACTCCATAAGTTGACTTGCTTAGTTGACCCATCTTGGCTTCAACCCATCTCCGGTGAACCCGATTCGTCGGAGGTGTAAAAAACCCTCCAACATGTACCCAATCAACCGGATAAAACGCCATTGGAGGTAAAACCCTAAAATTCAACTTGAGAACTGTTGTTTCTTCTCTTTCCACCACTCTAGATACAAGATAAGGTCCGTTGTAACCCCATCTGTTACCATTAAAGGTTGATGCAAATTCCTCCATGAATTTGTATAACAAATCATGGTTTTTGTCAAAGATCAATACTGCGTTATTCAGTCTAGTCCAGTTTCCAGATGGGGTTGCACTTTGTGCTCCAATTGAGTTCTTCAGACTGCTAAAATCTTTCAAAATGACAAAATCTGTGTCCAAATAAACGCCTCCATACTTGTAAAGAATCGCCAGTCTGATCAAATTCGACAGGTTTTGTGCTAAAGGGATCTTACCAGGGTCTCTTTTCCCATTCTTGATTTGATGGAGCCAAGATTGCGCTGGTGTGTTCTTGAACAAGAAATCTAAGTCCGGTGTTATGGCTTGAACTCGATACCCACGATCAGTCAAGTGTTTCAAGATTCGGAACCCGTGAACTGAGTCCATAGTGTTTGAAAGTATCATCAAACAGCTGTCTGGATTCGACTTAAACAAAGCATCTACAGCAAGAAATTCTCTATCTCCAAAAACAGTAGATGAAGATGATGATATCCACGTCATAAAGAACCGAATCTTGCAACTATCTTTAAAGAAATATTGTGCCCGTTTGTGGAATCTTCGAGCCAGCCTTGTTGACTTGAGAATATCGAATTTTGGAAGAATGTCTTTGAACCCACTGATCCTTTGTTCTTTGGTCAGATTAATGGGCTGAACCAACGGACTACGATCATCTTCTAACTCAGTTTCTGGAGCAACTTCCTTAGGTATCGAATACGAAGTCAACTTTATTTGTCGTACGATGAAGGTATGATTGTTGAACACATGAGGATGAAATGGGGTTATGGTTATTGGTGCAGAATGAATGGAAATATCGGAAGTGAATCGATCTGTTTTTATTATGTAGGTGAAGAAGATAGCTCCGACGGAGATGGCGGAGAAGAGATGGAATCTGGCACGGCAGAGGCCGATCAGCCGCCGTCGTTGCTCCGCCCTTTTCAGAGAAGAAACTTTTATCATTGATCTATATATATAATCAGATATATGATATGGGTATCAAGAGTTTTCACGAATATAATGCACGAGACTGCTCAGGTCCTTTCAGTTATAGTCAGTTGAATGAAAACACGAAATAAAAATAATTTTTTATTTATATTCTTTTTTTAAACGTGGATATTCAACCCGTTATGCGAGCCGACTAATTCCAAGACGATCATCTGCTTTGCAGATAGTCTGGAGTCACCGCATTTGAGCCCGCGTGGTCACAAGGGAATTTTTATTTCTCCTTGGATTTGAACCTGAGACTTCCTGGTACTTTTGACTTTTGGAGTCAAGCTCAAACCAATCAGACACCATAAAATGAAGGAAAAAAATGATATCATTATTACTAATATACCCTTTAAAAATATATTTTTTAATATGAAATATCAGGTAATTTTATAATTTTAATAATTTTAAAGAGTTTTTATTTCTTTTCTTTCGGTTCCTTCCATTTCCTGCAACATTTAAGAGTAAAGTTTTGGGAGGAAACTTATCATTCATTTTTTTCCATCTTTTTTTTTCGATTTCTGCTAAAAAAGTTTCAACAACACGAGTTTTTTTACTTTATTTCCTTTTCCATGAGTTTCCTTCTCTTTCTGTCATACGGGTTTCAAGAACACGACATGAGGAGGACTACGTAGAGTTTCGAGGGATCCGTGGCCTCTAATGATTGGTTTACCATATTTTCTTTTCTTTACTTATTTAAATTAAATCTTTTGATTGGTTATGAAAGTTAATTATATTATAGCAAATTGAATGTAGATACAACTCGTATAAACATAAATAAAGAGGTATTAAACTAGAACATGGTACGAATGTTGTATCAAGTATTAGACATGAAGTGTCATAACCATTCAAGTTCAATTTAGGGGCTGTTTGTTTGGCTCTTAATGGTTACATTAAGAGTCAACCTCTTAATCAGTAAGAGGTAAAGAGTGTTTGGCAAAAAAAATCAAACCTCTTAATGGTTACAAAACCCTCTTAACCATTTTGCACTCAACCATTCAGATCGTTCTTTTTCCCATTTTGTCCTCTCCAGTCGCCTCCTCCTCTTCCCACGCATCGTTCTTCCTCCCAAACGATCCCGCCTCTGCTTCTCCGACGGCGACAATCCTTCTCCGACGGCGACAATCCTTCATCTCCTTCTCTCACTCCGTATAATCCCATCAATCAAATTGGTAGCGTCTCATCCAGGAAAAACATAACCCAAATCCAAAAGTGAGTGAAACCCTAAATCAAATCATAGAACTCAAAAATCAAATCGAGGGTTTTACCAAAATTGCTCTTGTTGGTCACTGGTGGTGCTCATCATCGAAATAGAGAGAGAGAGAGGCCAAGAACTGATCCTAGTGATAACTATTGAGTAGCTAAATTTGGGGAAAATTCTGAAATTTGTTAAGGGTTAAAATGGTAATTTGTTGTCATTCAGAGAACAATTACCAAACAATCTTGTTTCGTTCTGCACTTAACCATTCTGACCCTCTTAACCATTCTGACCTCTTAACTATTCTGTACTAAATCATTCAGTAACTGCCAAACAGCCCCTTAGTCATTTAGGATGCTATCTTACATGGACGGATTCAGTAATTTCTTCAAACGGAGACACAATATTATTAATATAAAAATCCCCTTGTAGCCACGGAGGTTCAAATGCGGTGACTCCGGACTATCTGCAAAGCAGGTGGTCGCCCAGGAATTAGTCGGCTCGCATAACGTGTTGGATATCCAGGTTAATAAAAAAAAATACTATAATTTAATAGAGACCAAAAAAATATGGTTTATAAGAGTGAGAAACAACTCCTAAATTTGTGTCTGACGCGTCTTCATATATCTTTTGAAAACGTTTAATATATACCAAAAAATAGTTACAAAAAGTACGGTTTTTATAGGATGAGAAAAACTCCTAAATTTGTGCTCGGCGTCTATTCATCTTTTGGAAACGATCCATGACATCTTCATTCTTAATGCGGGCAATGTTCAAAAAAATCATCACCAATTCGATTATCATGTGATTTTTCATCTTTCAGTTGCACCCCTTATACTTTCTAAAACAATACACTTGCACCTTCTAAAACAATATGGTTGCACCTTCTAAAATAATATGGTTGCACCTTTCACGAACCTAATTTTTTTTACTTACGAGAAGAGATTTACCAGTGGCCCGTGCCACCATGAGCCCTTAACTGGGTCCGTCTATGGTATCTTAATGCATTCTTTTACACAACTAGCAGTCATTTTAGGATCAAAATATTGCAGAACATTCTTCTATTAATTTTTTTTCTTCATAATATGAACTATTTTCTAAGAGATAAAAGAACTAAACTTTTGCATACAAAGAGATTTGAACATACAACATGTAGAATGATGCAACTTCATCACAAGCACAAACAACCATCTCACTCAATTGAAATTCTTGTTATAAGTTTGGTTTACAAATATTAAAGGATACCCTCACAATTAAGTGGGTGCACCTTCACGGCATTTCAATTTTTTTTCGCTTGCGGCAATCGAGTGAGTGGGTACACGGGACCCCGCTCAGACCTTAAGAGGTCTACCCCTGCCCCATATGAATGCATTCATCATCATAATGATGGTGTTAAGTGTTGAAAGAAGTGATACGAAACAACCAACGACCAGAACAAAAAAGAAAAAAAATTAAGTAAAGGTTGCGAAAATCCATGGGGGGCCGGGGACCTTCGAAATTGTTGTATCTATAGGTTCTCTAGTGTCTATATGTTATGTAAGTTCTCGAGTAGTATTACTGGTCAAGTTTGTATATGGATCGTAATTACTTGATTAATGTTAATGAAAAGTGTTTTATATTTTCACATTTCTTTTAATACACACAACAGTGGGGCAAAGTTGTTGAACTCAACTATATGGATTTGCATATACATAATGTTATAACCAAGATTTAGACAACCTGGGTTGAGGTAATTTATACGTGTTTATTATGTGGATTACGTGAAATATGCATGTCTAATTTAGAAATGCATGAACTATATATGTGAAATGTGAACATGATATTGTGCATGCATATATGTGAAAAGATGGCATGATATGTATGTAATTTATATATATATGCATGTGGTGTGAAGCATACATGAGGTGGTGCATATTTGTGATAAGATATTTTGGTGGAAACATTATTATATTATTTAAAAACTTATACCTTCATGGTTAAGAAATCATGAATTTTATGATAAATAAATAAACCCACCACTCAAGGTTATTTCTATTGGATAAAGGATTCACCGCCTATAAGTTTTATAATAATTAAAATAATCTCCACCGCCATGGTGAGAGTATTTAAAGAAATAAAAAGATAAGATTCTCTCTTATCATTTCATTTGAAGAAAAATCTGTTGAAAGAGAAAGAGAATATTGTGGCGGTGAGAAGTGTTCTTGAACAAATCTTTTGTTCAAAGCTGTTTGAAGAGCTTGTGATTTGCTATGTGTTTAAAACTACATAAACTGTGATTGTTAAGACGAGTTTTAAAAATATTGTTGACTATACACTGTGAGTTTTTGATAACTAAAACCTTTATATATTTTGTTATATAAACTGCTAGGTTTTGATATTGGTTTTGAAGAAAAGATGGTAAAACTATTTTGATAGTTTAAAGGTGTTATTGTTATATATTTGAGTATTAAAAACTGTTTTGGGAAAGATAAAGAAGGGATTGCTTCTTTAAAACAGTTTTGGAAATGATATCCTGTTTTGAGGATTTAAAAAAGGGATCTGATGTTTTTCGAAACCATTGAAATAATAGATTGTTCTTGAGTTTGAAAGGTTTTAATGATAAAACTGTTGGTTAAAAACTATAGAGAATATTCTTTTGAGACGATTATGATTTTTGATCTGTCTTCATTTGGAATTAATCTATAGATTTTATGGATAATACTATGAATGAGGATTCGGTAAGATGGTTGTGACTGCGGTTCTTCATCTGAACTAGTTCATAGATTTTGAAGAAGAAATAAGGGTGTCATGTCAAGGAGAGGTATCTTTTGGAATTTTTGGGTTGCATATTTTACATTATAGACTCTTGTACCAATGACCTATGTGGGGAAAAACATGTATTCTATATATGAAATATGTGTTCTATGTAATGTATGGATTTGGGGGTGTTATAGAGATGGTATCAGAGCCTGAGTTTAAGGGATTTAGGTATTCACATGCATGATACCTAGACTTAAACTATTTCATTGCATATTAGKRKYCCAGACATAGTTAGCACCTTTGGAATAAATATAATAAGTTAAGAGATCAGTGTGTAAGGTATTTTCGGATTAYATCTGGCCAATGTAATTTTGAATCTACAGGTACATAACTGAACTTGGACACTTTATTATATTTGGGAATGTGAAAATATATGTATTAACTTTGTTATGTACAGATGGCTAGCAGATCAAGGTCGGAAAAGATCACCCGCCCTAATGAAGAAGAATCCCCTATTGCTCCTATTGGCACCTCTGAGGGCAGAAGCAGAGGCAGAGGTAAAGGCAGAGGTAGGGGACAGACTAGAGGCAGAATAAGTCAGCCAGAAATCAATATGAATCAAGCAGAATCAAACTCTGAAAATATGAATCAAGAACAGATGTCTCACCCAGAATATGTAACAACAGACATATTAGCTGAAGAAATAGGAAAGCTAAGGGAAACCTTGACTTCTATTTTGAGGAATCCTGCCAGAATACAGACAGACAGAATTGAAATTACTCCATCAATTCCAATTCTCAATAACAGGGAAGGAGATATAAAGATGTTTCTAACTTGTAAACCACCAACCTTCTCGGGAGAAAGAGATCCAATTAAAGCTATGTGTTGGGTCAAAGAGATGGAGTCTGTATTCAATACCATCCGATGTGCAGAAACAGATAAAGTCAGATTTGCAGTCTGTTGATCCTCTCTCTCAGTGATTTGATAATAATCCTTTTTTCTCTTTCACGTTGTATTTGTGTTTCTGTATTTTCAG